GGACCCCTGTGGCACTCCGTACACCAAATCAGCACTGCCGGAGAGACAGCCATCGACAGAGACCATTTGCGTTCTATCAGAGAGGTAGGACCTAAACCAAGCCAAAACCGAACCAGAAATTCCAAAGTAGTTTTCAAGGGTTTTGAAAAGGATTTCATGGTCAACAGTGTCAAAGGCCGCACTGAGGTCTAAGAGGATCAAAATGGAGACATTACCGCTGTCCATTGCGCGCAAGAGGTCATTACTGACTCTCAAGAGAGCTGTCTCCGTGCTATGGAAATGTCTATAGGCCGACTGATTAGAACTGAGAAGAGAGTGATCATTTAAGTAAGCAAAAAGTTGTTTTAGGACTAGTTTTTCAATAACTTTAGATAAAAATGATAAGTTAGATACAGGTCTATAGTTTTTTAAATTATTTTCATCCAGACCGGGCTTCTTAAGCAATGGTTTGATGACAGCTGATTTGCAAAGAGGCGGAACAGTGCCAGAATATAAGCTTTCATTTATTATGCGGGTTATTGTTGGGAGCAAGATATCTAATGACTCAACCAACAGGGGGGTTGGGATGGGATCCAAATAACATGACGTATGTTTAGATTTTAGGATTATATTTTTTACCTCAAGTTCTGAAACAGGTTTAAAAATATTAAAATGGGAAGTAAGACAAGGGAAAGGAGGCAATTCAAGGGGAGGGGCATCAAGACGATCAAGCTCAGCTCGAATGTCAGCTACTTTGCTTGTAAAGAAATTACAGAAAATATCTGGTTGCTTGGGCAGGGGAAACACCGAAGGAAGCGCAGTTCCTTTGTTACTCCCCCTAAGGTGACCACAAACATCAAACAACTGCCTGCTGGTTTTACCCATAGTTATCTTTTGGCTAAAATACGTAGTCTTTGCCCGACAAACAATCTGATTGACACGCTTCTTGGCAGCGTAAAATATCTGCTTAAAAACCACAAGACCTGACCTTAACCACTTCTTTTCTGCACTACGGCGCTCTTTCTTGGCACTGCGTAGTTCCTCCTGAATGGTCGCATACCAGGGAGATGACCGCTTTAGACTAAAATTGCGACGGGTGACAGGGGCGTGTCGGTCAAGCACAGCGCGCAATGCACGGTCTAGTGATTCCAATGTAGGGCAGAGGGCAGGGGACACTTCTACGCTTAGGTCATGCTTAAATGCATCCCTGTTTATAGCTCGCAGACTGCGCACCTCCCTAAACTGAGGGGGAGGGTTGGGGGCACTAACACTAAGTTCATTAAAAATAAATAAATAAACCTTCCCAAAAGATTTCCCAATATCAAGCAATTTGAAATGGGTAGGTTCTCTTAGAAGTCTTTTTCACTTCTTGGTAAAAGATGATGTACAAATGATTGATCGGTTGATTTTTAAACTTCCCCAAACTCTGAAAAAACGTAACCCTTTTTCCTAGCTAATCTGTTTTGTAATAATCCTCAGACAGTATTGATGCATCAAACTTATAATCTTCTGCCTACTTATACTTTTCTGTCTTTTTAATCTTAAAAAAAAAAGAATTGCTTGTGTTCGTTTGATTAAATCACTTAATTTAAATACAGCTACAACAGATTGAAATTACTTTGAGACTTACATTAAAAAAGTAGGAATTTTTCAGATGTCCTGTTTTGGTTTGCAATGACCTATTTGTGTCTGCTTGGAATCTCTCCCCAGGTTTTTACAAGTGGACTCCTGGCATGCAGACAGATACAGCATCATATGCAATGTTGACCAACAATCAATACAAAAGGATTACCATTATAGTTGATGGTGGGTTAGGAGGTGTTTTGCTTCATCATTGTCTTTCTACTGTTTTAAGATGTGCACTCATTGTTAATGATTAAACAAAATCCAATTTTTTAAGATAAAATATGTTTTTAAAAATCTTTTGGGAAGGTTTATTTATTTATTTTTAATGCATGGAGATGTTTTTTTGTTGTAATTATTAATCATCTCTTTAAGCCTTGGCTGAATATTTAGGTAGATTAGCTGGTTATTCCATTCCACTTAAATGTAGAGGCAGAATGTCAGGAAACAAGACTGAAGAAAATAAGTCATGATATTTGATATAGTAGGTCAATACAGAATAGACGCTATTATCTTAAGTAGTTTTTAAATTAAATTATTCTCTTAGTTTGAAGACACATAAGCAGCTGTGGAGGATAGCATTTTTTCCTCAAGCAGTTTGCACTGACCCTGAATTGATGGATGTTTGCGTGATGGTTATGAAATAATGAAATAGAAAGGGTCAATGTAACCCTAGGTGACATTTCTTTTTCTAGGTGTTAAAACAGCCATTAAAAAAAATAAATCAACAGCTTCTATTAAAATTCATTCCACTTTTAACTTGTGACGTTTGTTTTAGATGCTGGCAACATGAGTGAGCTGATTGCCTTTGATGTACTCCAGCCTGTGTCAAACATCAATAATTATCTGCGTCTGGTAAGATTTTCTTTAGGAATACTATTTGCATTTAAGAGCTTTAAATATTTTTAGTTGGAAAAATTATGGTAGAGGATGTCATTTCAAAGATTGCTACATAGTGAGTGAGTGGAAAGAACCCAGTTGCATAAAAGCTTTGTGTGTCACTAGAACACATCAGACAGAGCATTACATTTGATGAAAGAAATGGTAGTATCAACAGATTTATGCATAACTTTTACATACCGGTAAATTATTTTGTATAAAAAATAGATCTTTGATAGATCAGCCTATTTTTTTATTTTTTTACTTTTATCACCCCTAATTTTATGTGATCACTCCTGAGAATCTATAAAGACATTTTATGTGCTCACTTTGTGAGAATCTATAAAGACATTTTATGTGATCACTCCTGAGAATCTATAAATAGACATTTTATGTGATCACTCCTGAGAATCTATAAATAGACATTTTATGTGATCACTTTGTGAGAATCTATAAAGACATTTTATGTGATCACTCCTGAGAATCTATAAATAGACATTTTATGTGATCACTCCTGAGAATCTATAAATAGACATTTTATGTGATCACTTTGTGAGAATCTATAAAGACATTTTATGTGATCACTTTGTGAGAATCTATAAAGACATTTTATGTGATCACTCCTGAGAATCTATAAATAGACATTTTATGAGATCACTCCTGAGAATCTATAAAGACTTTATGACTAATTTACAAAAAAAAATAATTTAATTCCATTTTTTCTATCAGCTTGAACAATACAAGAATTTAATATTCTATGGCCCTGCTGGGAGTGGGAAGTCTTACATGGCCCAAAGGCTTGCTCAGAGTATTGCAGTAAGTAACTTGATTTGGCTGACATCAGTAATACTGTCTAAGAATACTTGTAAGATTATATTTTTTTAGTAGTATAACTTTTAATAGGCACTATTCATTTGATATGGCAGTAAGTGCAGTTCCACCTAGAAATCTAACAATACTAAAGATTGCAGATTATTAACTCACTACTGTCTCAACACCCACTTCTCATGTATATCTCATGTATATCTAGGTTACTCTAAAATTATTAAATCCTTGGAGCACCACATGATCGTTTAGTAACATGAAAATCAAAACTTAGCTTAGCCTTAACCAGAAAAATGGCACAAAGAAGTACATGAAAAAGATAAATAAATGAACAGATTTGGATTTATATTTTTGGAGCTGGTTTTAAATCCTTTATATTAACTTTGCTTTCTTGTGTTTCTCTGTGCCAAAATCTTCAGAAGGCTAATTGACACACTTCCTGTCATCCTATCGAGCTAAAACTTGGCACATATACGCGTTGCTAATGACAATATCTTCTTTCAAATTTTCTGCCCTGTCCCCAAAAATCAGTGGGTGGTGGGGATTTTAATGATTTGGTCAATTGTTGCGTGTTCTGGTTTCGAGATTAATATGTGTAGCTTTTGTTATAAGGTTGGTATTTGTAAAGTATTTGGGTTTAAATATATCTTTAGTCTATTAGGTTTTATATGCACTAAGTTTGATAAAAACTATTCCCATACCAAAAATGAGTTGCTACAATCACATAAATGATAAATCATGTACAATACATATAAATGCAAACAGAAATGCATATAAAGGATTTAAAAGAAAAACTTAGTGTTTAGGTGTGTTTTAATTCCTATTCAATACAGGATATACAAGCTTTGTTCTTTTCTTTCTGTTGCTCAGTTTAATATTAAATCATCTTTTTGCCAAATACTGACACTTCTGTGTATTGAACTTTAAAACAGCCTGTGTGGTGCCTATAAACAGAGGCCATGAGAACATTGCTCCTACACTGGTGCTGGACAACCTGGAAGCTGTTGATATAGCCCAAATGTTGGGGAGCTGCTTGACGCCATGGAATACAGGGGAATCAAACATGCTTTCTTTCTCAGAGGTACAAGTCTATTCACTCAGCTTTAATACAACGTCAAATGTTTGATTTAATGGTTTCCCATTTGAAGATCTTTTTAAACATTTTAGATTTGACAGAGAATTAGATATAAAATAGCTGTGCAAAAAATGTTAAAACTTTTTCTATAAAATCTTGATAGAGAAGCTCCAACATTTGAAAATAATAAATTCTTTAAAAAAAAAAAAAAACTTTGAAAACATAAACAAGGACAAATATTGGTAATAGATTTCAGATTTCCAGCATCATTTTAGTTATTTATTTAGTGTCCTCTTAAAAATCTTTAAAAATCATCAAAATCTTTTTAGGGTGTTGCTTAATTTATAATGCACCCATTATTAGGTCTGAGAATAAAGTGTAAAAAAAACAACAAAAAACAAACTGTTACATAGTATTTATCAAAAGAATAACATGTTATATGTTCATAGGAAACAATCCTGTGGAAAATGGAATGCACTACTTGACTGATCAGTTTTGCCTTATTGGTACAATAAATCAAGGCAAGTTGAGTTTAACTGAACTATTAGTTTGATTACTGAATTTCTCTTTACATTCATTTCACAATTATAGCTTCTTTCAACTGGCGCTTAAATTTTTTATTTCCTGGTCCAGATCTTTGGGTGTGGATCTCTCAATCCTTCCACGATTTCGATGGGTCCAGTTTATATTGAATACTGAACCATTTCGAGGATTGCTTGCCGGGCACTTTTTGCGAAGGATTTTCAATACATACCATGGTCAGCTTCCGTCCCCTGAAGATCCAGTTCTTCGATCAGTGGAGTGGATAGTCTGTGTCTGGCAGAGACTCAATGACATCCTCAATAAACTTGGTCTCCTGGATGTTGTGCTGGGACCATGCATGTTCTTCAAGTGTCCGTTAGAGAAGCAAGATCACGAACTTATCCTTGAGTAAGTCTAGCAGCTTTGTCTTTTTTTTACACATGAATACTTTGAAGAATAGTCCAAACCCTCTCTAACTAGGCAGTGGTCCAGAATACTAAACAAGTTCCACTATATTAATTTAGCTGTGCCAAAAAGTGAAAAGCCTCATGAAAACAAGATTTCCAATCACAAGTTGTTGAAACTTGGAAAATTTAATTTTGAATTGTGGAAAAATATAATAAATGTCCTCCATTATGTTTAGGTTTTGTTCCATGGGGCCTGAAAACAAAGTTATACGACAGACTTCTGTTATTATCATTTACTAAAAGGCTACATGCATTTTGTTTAATCCTGGACTACCAATGTTTCCCATGTGGATGAAAACACTATGGAATCAATAGATTGCCCCAAGAGTCAGAGAGGCCGTTAAAAGAGGCACAGGATCTGAGTCACCCACTGAGGGTCAGCAGAAAGTGGCCAACACGGCACTGTATGTTCTGATGCAGCGGTCAGTAATGCTGGGCTGTCCCGTTGTTGGCCAGGGTGAGATCTCTTAACTCTGTTTGCCGAATCAAGTACCTGCTACCTAATAGCACTAGCTGACCAATTACACTTTTAGGAATACACCAAATAGATCAATGACCATGCAGCATCAAAAACACATCTGGCTGTCATCATGTTCCCTATTCAACACACAACTTGGTTTAAAATCACAGACAAACTGTGCACACTCCTCAATTTCAACCCCTTGCAGTTTAAAGTGTTGATACTAATAAGCTATTCATTTTGTTCTAATAATTAAACCAAATACCCCCTCCCCCCTTCCCGTATTACATTCTTTGAGTTGCAGAGTCTCTCTTTAAAATGGTACTTTACATCTGGTTCATTAATTAGAGCTGTAAAATGTATTCAATGGCTGCTAAGAGTAGTCCCAAGGCCATGGTTTATATTTACCAGGAAACTGCTTCAATCATGGTAAATTTAGTTGTATAAAAATGGTTTAATTTGTATAAACGATTTTTGAGCGATCAAATTTGAATTTAAAAAAATGGAAATTGCTCATTAATTTATTTGGACATGGAGAATACTACAAACTTTATTCCCATTATAACAATGTATTTAATTGGTTTGACACTTATATTACAGCTCATCAGTAGTAGTTTTCTTCAAAGATTTCTTTTCTTATTAAACTTTAAAAGTTGCATTATGATTCATTCTTTTCTATTTCAGAAAAAGGATTCTCAGGTTCCAATGAGCTGTGAAGCCAGGTGATAGATCAAGAGTTACATCCCTTGCATCACCAACATCGCCACACAACAGTCTTTTGAGACATGACCCAACATCATCTCTGCAGAGCAGAAGGTGGAGAAACGACGGTGACAGGTCACAAGCAGCCCTGGTTCCATCTTCTGCTCCCGAGGACAAAGGAAGAAATGGGTAGGGGAGAAATTCTAATGAGTGTCTACATCAACCAAAACCATTCCTGTGTATGGTTAATCAATATCTCATAACCTTAATCAGTTCTGTGAAGAATATTTAAACATGACTATTGCACCAAGCCATGGAGTACAAAATTGCAACCTTGTGCTACCGCTGCTTACATGACCTGGCGCCGTCTTATCTGAAAGAACTCCTGACGCCTTATGTACCGCTAGACAACTCCACTCATCTGATAGTGGCAAACTCTCGACACCACGTGTTCGCCTTGAGACTTACGGAAAGCGCACTTTCGCATTTGTTGGTCCAACAATTTGGAATGCCCTTCCTGTCGATCTCAGAAACAACCAGACACTGGAGTCCTTTAAAACCGATTTAAATACACATCTATTTCGCAAACACCTTCTGGGATGATTGTCTACCTTATTTTCCAGTTAATGCATATTGGCTGTGTTGCTTAGGGTTGAAATGGGTAGAAAGACTTTGCCATTGTATGCTTGTAATTAGTTTTTGTAGTGTTGCATTTGTTTTAAATGTGGTAAATTATAGATTTTTTTTGTGTGTGACTTTGTACCGCGCTTTGAGCCTTTGGGGATGAAGCATGTTTTTGAAATAAACTTTATTATTATTATTATATAATAGGGCTTATGGAGTTGTAAATTTAATTTTTCTATGTGAGCCACTTCTCAGCCCAGCCTCCTTATGACTGAGGGATCTAAAAGGAGGTTTATTGGTCTACAGGGAGGCTGGTACCCCTGCTGAAATTATTTTAATGTATTTGTTAAGTAGTTTGACATATGTGTAGTAGAGCGTGGTGGTGATTGGTACTTGGTTAAGGGTTGGTGATGGTGAGTGAGTGTACCAAGAACAACACCGACAGTCACTAACAAGCCGTAAGAAAAAGTCCACTATGAAGAAAAAAAGGACAATATAGAGCGTTCCAATGGGCCGCACTGAACAATGGCACACTGCAGGGATGCTGACCGATCTCGAATGACCCCCTACTTAGTGTGCACCCCTTTATAAAGCTGTGCGCGGACATATGAGAGAGCCCCTCCGTCAGACTTAAACCAACTCGGTCTAAGTTTTGCCTTCTGGCCAATTTCCTGAGGTAAAATGCCTAACTCTGGGGACTACACCCGAGTAATAATTAAAATCCCTGACCAAAGCCCTAACGACTTGTATGTGATCTGTGCAGTTTTGTCTCAGCTATTTAAGATGCTATTTATATTTCTATGAGTTAAATGGTTTCTGAGATATTTTAACTTGAAGGGGTGTGGACCACTATAGATGGAGGTGACAACCCCTTTAATGACTAAGTGTTAAAATATCCTCCAACGATGGAGACTTTTAAATATGCTATGGAATAGTGAATAAAATCCTCTTTCTAACTAGATATAATTTATAACTTAATACGCTAGGGTTCCGAAGAAATAAATTATTGAGTTTTTAACTAAAGGGTACATCGTGGTATTTTATTATTTCCTCCCTATGCGCGAGAGAAGCCGGCCGTATAAATGCCGCCCGGACTGGGGTGAAAGGGATACCCGAGGTCAACATTCCGATCCAGTGCTAGGCGAGGTCACACCGCGCGTTGGGCGCCAAAAATGGTTTTCGTACTAATAGCGGTTGTCTCAAAATAACGGGGCTAATAGCGGGTTTCCAACTAACGGGGCATACACTGCCACATCCACCCGAAACGTTTGAATTCCAGCGCTCTCGCTGGCTCGACTTTAAAGAAATTAGCAAGTACAAGCAAATACAGAAATTTTGAATAATATTGTACAGTACAGAGATATATAATAATATACATATGAAAAAATGCAACGTAAGTGTTCAATAAAATAAAAGAATCTTGGTGTAAGTCTCTCCCAGAGTATGACAAGTATTACATTGTCATGACATTGTACTTTCTATAATGATATGACTTATGAGGTTACACGCGCGTGCACCAGGTCGACCCAAAACTTTTAGCATGGCAGTACGTCTAACAAAAGCACTACGATGTACAATCGCTAATTGTATACTGGTGTATACGCCTAAGTCTATGTGAAACTTGACGCATTTGAGCATGTGTAATTAGGACGATACCAATTATAGGTGTTGGTCGACGCATGCATACGTGGGTCTTTAGGGGACACGACTTTCTGCCGCATGACTAACTATGGCAATATCACTGTAAATGGTACATTAAATGAGATTGATAATTAATCAACTTTTAAAACACTACTTAACTTGATTGCAACTGAACATGAAAAGTTTACTACAATTAAACATAAAAATGTACTTTAAAAAAATTAATTAAACAATATTAATACATTGGCATGACATTGTATTGTCTATAATGACATGACCCATGAGTTCACAATCGAGCGCACCAGGTCGACTCACGACTTCAAGTACGGCAGTACGTTTACCCCAAGCACTATAAAGTATAATCGCTAATTGTATACTGGTGTACACGCCTAAGTTTATGTGAAACTTGAGGCAGTTCAGCATGTGATATTGGGACTAGATCAGTTATAGGTGTTGGTCTTCAACGCATGCATGGGACCTCAAGTGGCCAAGCTGCGCTGCCTTGTGTCTAACTATGGCGAGAAGATGGCAAAGTAAATAGGTATATTATATTATATATTAAATGCGATTGAAGAGTAATTCAATTTACACTACCCTTACTCGATTGTTAGTAAAAATGAAAGGGTTAACCTTATAAAGAAAAAAAAAACAACAACACAATTTGCTCTATGACTGAACCAAAGGAAAAAAAAAAATATATACATAAATGCATTGTCAGTACACAGTGGCCAGATAGACCGGTAGAGCTACTTGTTGGCTACGGGTCGTCTCAGGTCATCATAGCTCCGGTTACTGGTGGGGGTATGTCGGTCACTGTTCTTGGACTGGAGGGCTGCTGTCTCTTTCATCGGGTGTCAGTGCTGGCTCGCCCAGTCGATGCATGTCGATGCGACAGTGCGACGATGAGTAGTCGAGTCGCTCTTCTGATGAGTAGGAAATTTGCCACAAACCCAGTATTTACATGAAGGATATACGCGTGGTGGTACACCTTTCGGTAAGAACGTCGGCCACGGTCGTGATCTGCCAGGTGGTAAGGAACGAAGGGGATACTGCGGGGCCATTTTTGACCGCGGGCAATGTCCATTTCCTTGTGGTTGGCACGCCTTGTGGTGGGCTTGTTTGCATGGCGCCCTGCTGGTGACTGGTACAGGTAGGGACGTGGGCCACGGTTCATAACTTATAGGTGGCATGGAACGAAGACTAAGGTGCCGGGTCTTGTTTAACCGCTGGCACTGTCCATGTCGATATGGATGGCATGGCTTGTGGTCATTCGTGACATGCGTGTTGATGACTGGCACTTGTTCTGTTTTCAACGCGAGCTCCATTGGTCAATCTATATTGTCCTTTTTCTTCTAAAGTTCTAAATTGGATTCTGAAAAGCTATCCTCAATTTGATCCTGCCGACAACGCCAAAAATGTAGTAGAGCGTGGTGGTGATAGGTACTTGGGTAAGGGCTGGTGATGATGAGAGAGTGTACTAAGACCGACACCGACAGTTACTAACAAAAAAAGAAGAAA